GCCTTATCACTGCAGAGCTCCCAGCACGGGATAAAACCAGAGTCAGCAACTCAACCCCAGTCCTTTCTGCCTCTCTTACAGGGCAACCACCTTGGGAAGGAGAGAGATAAAGCCATGCTAAATGTAAGAGTTCGTTTTGCAAAGTATTTCCAGATTTCAAAGCCTGGCTTCTCTTCAAATGGGGACACTAACCTAACATTTGGGATTGGTGAGGAGGGGGGGATGCAGAATGTGGGGTGGTTTCTGGTCCCTTTTATTTCATGCTATGTACATGTGATATGATGGGGGGAAAAAAATAATTGAAAAATACCCTTTCAAAGTAAAAAGAAATAGCATTCTCAAAAATGTTGAAAGTGAATATTTCCACACCATCAGCAACTTTTCCTGGGCTTGTTTCCAGCATAAGACTCAGTCACAGTTTATATCCAATACCAAGCAAATAGGATTCTCTCACTGTCAGATCAGCTTTGCCTTTCTGTTCTAAAGCAGCACACACACATACACACAGAGAGAGAGAGAGAGAAAAAAAAAGCATTATGGCATGGGCAAGTGAGGAAGAACCAGAAACTTGGCCACCAAGAAAGCACAGCTGGTGTCCTCCAAGGTCAGGCTGTGCCCAAAAGCTGTGTTGGACAAACCTCACGTTCTCAGCAACCTGAAAGACTTAACCTGCCAGGAACACCATGCCCCGAAGCCACTGCTGCTTGGAAGTTAATATTTACCCATCCTGTGGCAAAGGCAGCAGCCAACACCCTCCAGCAGAGCAGCACAGGGAGGACAATCCTCTTTCCTGCTCCATGTTCACACACTGTGGTGACAAGAGAGGACTAAACTGCTAGACAGGCAGGTTGTTGGGGAGATCAATACAGTGATTAAACTAGCCTAGAGAGACAGAAAAAGGCAGAAAGGATTATATACCTGGCTTCAGAGATCATTGATGATATTATAGGGAAGGCTACAAGAGGAAATTAGAAACATGTAAAAAAAAGCCTAAGGGTGTGACACAAAGATCACAGAAAATGAAACACGTATCTCT